TGCTTTAGGAACTGCAAACTCCAATCAGTTGCCTTAGATATTCAAATTTGCTTATAGGTAATGGCTTTGTAAACATGTCAGCCAATTGATCTTCAGACTTGCAGTAAACTAAGTTTACTTCTCCACTTTGCTGCATCTCTCTCAAAAAATAGAGCTTAATGTTGAAATGTTTAGTCTTCCCGTGACATACTGGATTGTTTGCAATAGTAATTGCAGCCTGGTTGTCAACAAAAATTTTTGTTTTGTTCTTCTGCTGCAAAGATAAATCACATAAAATCTTCTTCAACCATAAAGCTTGATTTACAGCGGCTGTTGCTGCTATAAATTCAGCCTCAATGGTGGATTGTGCTACAATCTCTTGCTTCTTTGTGCACCATGAGAATACTCATGAGCCTAGGTTGAAACAGTATCCTGAAGTGCTCTTCATATCATCAATGGATCCAGCCCAATCACTATCAGAGAATTCATACAACTTGAATTCTTGACACTTATCAAATTTGACTCCATAATCAATAGTGCCTTTAATATATCTCAATATTCTTTTTGCTGTTTGCAAATGAATTTCACTTGGACAGTGCATAAAACGAGACAAGAGACTTACCGCAAATAGAATGTCCGGCCTTGTTGCAGTGAGATACATTAGACATCCAATCAAGCTTCTGTAATATCCTTCATCAATTTTTTCAGCACCATCATCCTTGCTAAACTTCTCTTTTTGATTCATTGGTGTGCTAACAGATTTACATTCCTCCATTTGAAATTTTTTCAAAATTTCCTTTGCATATTTTCTTTGACAAATTAACACTTCATTCTCACTTTGTTTGATCTCAATTCCAAGAAAATAGGTCATGAAACCAAGATCTATCATTTCAAAAGCTTGCATCATTTCTTGCTTGAACTCGTCAACTAGCCTTGCGTCATCTCCTGTCACTAAAAGATCATCCACATAGAGGGAAACTATGAGAAAATTATTTCCCTTATGTTTCACATAAAGTGTGGACTCGGATACGCTTTTTACAAAGTCTATGCTCAATAAATGATCATTAATTTTGTTGTACCAAGCCCTTGGCGCTTGTTTGAGGCCATAGAGAGCCTTTTTTAGAAGATAGACTTTATCTTCTTCACCTTGCTTCACGAATCCTTCTGGCTGGTCTACATATATTTCTTCATGTAGTTCTCCATTTAAAAAAGTTGATTTAACATCTAACTGGAATATTTTCCAGCCATTTTGCACAGCAACTGCTAACACCAATCTAATTGTATCTAATCTGGACACAGGAGCAAAAGTGTCAGAATAATCAACACCAAAAATTTGTGCATACCCTTTAACTACGAGTCTGGCCTTGTGCTTGTTGATTGAGCAATCTGCATTAAGCTTTGTTCTGAAAACCCATTTAACTCCAATGACTTTTCTATTTTCAGGCCTGTCAACCAGCTTCCATGTTTTGTTTTTCTGTATCATGGATATCTCCTCCTCCATTGCAATTTTCCATTTCTGGTCCTTTGGTGCTTCCTCGCAGCTAACAGGTTCACAAACTGCTACATTACATCTTTGATAGATGTCAGATAACAGCCTTTTGCCTCTGACTGGAGGGTCGTCTTCTAATTCATCCTGCAATAACTCTGTTGTTTGCTGTCCCGGATGCTTATCATCAATGTTGCCAAATAATTTAGTTGTTCTTTGTGAGTTCTCCCAATTCCATTGTTGTTCTTCATTAAAGTGCACATCTCTACTAACAGTCATCTTTCCAGTTTGAGGATGATACACTTTGTAGGCCTTTGAAACTGAACTGTAACCCACAAAGATGCCCGGAGTTGCCTTCTTATCAAGTTTGTCACGCTTAACCTGTGGAACATATGCAAAACAAACACAACCAAACACTTTAAGAAAGGTTAGTGACGGCTTATACCCATACCAAGCCTCAAATGGAGTTTTATCCATCAAAACTTTGGTTGGAAGCCGATTTTGGAGAAAGACCGTTGTGTTATCCGCCTCTGCCCAAAATGTTTTTGGCAACTCCTTCTCATGCAGCATGCATCTAGCCATCTCCATCACCGATCTATTTCTCCTTTCACTAACCCCATTCTGCTCTGGAGTGTAAGGGGTTGTGAGTTGATGCTCAATATCAGCTTCTTCACAAAATTGATTAAATTTTATTGATGTATACTTTGTCCCATTGTCAGATCTTAAACATTGAATCTTGCAGCCACTTTGAGTTTCCACCATTTTCTTGAACTTCGTAAATACTCCAGCCACTTCATGCTTAAATTTCAAAAAGAATATCCAACACATTCTTGTAAAATCATCTATGAAAAGAATGAAGTACAGACTACCTTGTAGTGATGGTGTTCTTTGGGGTCCTGCCACATCAGTGTGAACAAGCTGTAACTTTTGAGAAGCTCTCCAAGCTGATCTGGGGAATGATTTTCTTATTTGTTTACCAAATTGACAAGCATTACAATTTGGTAAATTATCAGAAAGTATTGGCAGACCTCTTGACATGCCTTTTCTTTGGAAGTTCAGCATTCTTTCAAGATGACAATGCCCAACTCTCTTGTGTCAGAGTTCTGTGGGACTGACTTGAGTAAAATAGACTGCATGCTCCTCCTCTGTTAGATCAAACGAGAAGCTTTTACCTCTCATTTTAACCCGTAGAACTTCCCGACCAGCAGTGTCGTAGATAAGACAATGTTAATTTTCAAAGGATACTTTAAAACCCTTTTTAATCAACTGACCTACACTTAACAAGTTTTGGTCGATGTCAGGTACATAAAGAACATCAGATATAATTTTGGTACCTGAACACGTTGAAATTGCAATGGTTCCTTTTCCTTTTGCAGTAATATAGCCACCATTCCCTATTCTGACCTTTGAAACATTAGTGGGCTTCAAGTCCTTGAATAGAGTCTTGTCATATGTCATGTGATTCGTACAACCACTATCAATCAACCAGCATTCAGAATTACTCCTCGTCGAATAGCATGTTGCAGCAAAAATATAATCTTCTTCATCTTGCTCAACAACTTAGGCATTAGCTTCAGTTTGCTGCTGAAATTTGGTCCTACAAATTACAGCTTCATGTCCAAGCTGATTGCATTTACTACACTTCGCATCTGGTCGTTTCCAACATTTGTATGGTGGGTGACCCAACTTTCCGCAATGCTGACAAGGTGGGTAGTTTTTCTTTTTACCCTACCATTGTTTTGGTTATTTGCACTATTTTCGTTGCTTGATGGCTGGTTCTTCTTGACATGCTTATTTCTACTGGTTTCTCAATAATGGTGCTTGGCTCGTAAAGCACCTTCGACTGCACCATCTTGTCTCATCAACCTTCGCTGCTCTTGGGACTGCATAGCACTTACAAGTTCTGCCAATGTGATCTTTGAAAGATCCTTAGTATTTTCCAATGAAGTAATAGAAGCTTCAAATTTTTCAGGAGCAGTCACTAGTATTTTCTGAACTATTCGTGAATCAGAAAAATCAGAACCTAACAACCTCACCTTGTTAGCAATGTTAAGAAGTTTGTTTGCATACTCCTTAATTGTTTCAGACTCCTTCATTTTCTGCATCTCAAATTCTCTAACCAGATTCATTGCTTGCATTCCCTTGATTCTTTCATCTCCTTCATATTCTTCCTTGAGGAAATTCCAGATCTCAAATGTCGATTTGATCGTCATGATTCTGGTGAAAATGTCTTGTGAGACAGCAGCAAACAGAGTAGCTCTTGCTTTTGACTTTCTTGCTTTCTTCTCCTTGTGATTTCTTATCTGAGCCATGGTTGGATTGTTCGGCAAAGGAAGAACTTCATAGTCTTCCTCAACGGCTTCCCAAAGGTCATTTGCTTCTAGGTGAGCCTCCATTCTTGCTGCCCATATGTGATAATTATCACCGTCAAACACAGGTGGTACTAGTTTTGTGTAAGGAGTTTCAGAATCCATCTATTTGATGAATTTAAGCAAGGTTTATTATGGTGGGTTTTTACTGGGTTCACTCACAGGTCCCTCTAAGAAGAAGGCTCTAGATACCAATTTGTTAGTTTAATGGCAGAAAATAACAAATATAGTGGCAGAGAAGTAGAGAAACAGTATATTAAAGGAAATGAATTGTATATTTGATCGATAGAAATGTTACAATAAATAATGGAAATGAAAAACTAAAAGTTATCCCATGTAACCAGGATTTTAGGGAATTGAATAATTAAACTAATTTGTTCCTAAAGTATAGCAACTACTACTAACTTGCTCCTAAATTATAGCAACCACTAATTGACTAAGTTGCTAAAAAACTTAAACAATAAAATAGTAAAAAATCTAGCAGTTACAAAAGCACATGATTAATATTAATCTTATGCTGTTAAGTTTTAGTGTTTATGATAACAATTTATAAATACTACATGTATGTATACATGATCCTAAGCAATGAAATTGAAGACTTAAGAATGATATTGTACTCCATCTACATCACTTAAATTAAGAAAGGGAATGTTTGAAAAATTAAGTGTCAGTGATTAGTCTCTCACTGATAAAAGTAAATTAAATAAATAATATATAAGTGACTGGTACATAATGTCTTAACGAGCATGCTATGTTGGTTGGTGATGTTTATTCAAATATAAGAATTCATATAGTAGTTTATAAGAGCCTTGTGACTTGTGAATTGTACCAAATCTTACAAGTTGATGCCTTGTGATTTGTGAGAGCCTCTCATAGTAATTTATGACTCTTCTAATCACTATTAGATGAATTCATTTTATATTCTAACTCATGTTGTATATATGCACGAAGTATTTACTTGTGTATGCATACATCTCCAATTTTGAGTTGAAGTAACATGTATGTAATTACAAGTTCAAATACATTTAGTTCAATATGCACTACAAAATCTAGTTTGCTCGTTTATGAGGATGACTTTCAGAGTACATTTGAACATAATAACTCGGTAGCAATAATTAAAGAATTGAAATTCAAGAGAGGGAAAAAAATAGAACTATTCCAAGAGTTTAACTAGACGAATCAAAGGAATGAAGAACTTGCTCTAACATCATTCTCTTATTTGGATCAAGAGGGCTCTCTGGATTATCAGAGTGAACGATATTTAGAAGATAGAGCTTCCTTGAAGCCACAAATGCTGCAGTAAAAATCCTTTTCAAACCTCCTCTAGTACTATCAATCTTGTACTCAAACTCATAAACTTGTAAACCTCCCTCCCCTGATCTTTCTTCAACTGCAATTATCTCAGCTTCCTTTGTACTTTCCTAAACGTCGAGGCAATAACCAATAGAAAATAAAACCATATGTACAATAAAATAGATATGTCTATCAATGCACCCTTCTTCACACACAAAGAAAGACATGTAGGTAGGAGAAACAATATGCAAATAAGGGAGAGTTTAGGAGAAACAAACCTTCTTGTGTTTACTAATCTTACTCAGTTCCAATCCCATTCCTACTTTTTGTATCTATAATTTTATAAACATGGCCTAGCTAGAAACAAAAAACAAGAGTGCATGTATACCTTGCGCCTTTCAGCTTGTAAAAGCTTATCAGCAACAAATTGAGGAGACCCAAAATCTGGAAGAGTTGAAAGACGAACCGGGTTTACCACAACACCAATATTGTTACTTCCAACGTTTGGTTCTTGAAACAACACAGTAGCACCAGCTTTATCAACCTTAGTCCAAGAAGAGGGTGTAAGAAGAGTGAAACCTTCTTTAGAATCAGTATATCTCAGAAGGTCAGCGGTTATTAATTCTTGTGCTAACAAGAGTGTATTAGGCAAGACGCTCCATAGAAAGGGTGAAAGCAAAGTGAGTTGCCTCTTGCTCAAACATGGCGTGTGTTTATGGGAATGGTGAATGTATTTGGGGATTGAAATTGGGGAAGAAGCACGAATGAGTTGAGATTGTTTGTGGGACAAGGTTGTGGTGTGTGAAAGGGTAGAGAAACTTTTCAAAGCCATTTTGGAAAAGGTACAAGAGGTCACAACTTTGGTGGGTGTTCCTTCGTTTAATCATTATCCACACTTACTTAATTCACTTTTCAACTTTTCAATTATGATAATTTATTCTAAATTATCTGAAAATGGATAATAATTATTCATATTTCATCACTTTTTTCACCTTTCAGATATCTTACCCCATTTTCTTCGTATGGATCTGGAAAATTGCTCTCAAAAATGTAGAAAATGCAAAAGATAACACATCATATAATATTTAAAAATCAGAAATGATATTTTCACTTTAATTTCTACCATTTATCGAATCGGTGAACAATAAAATATTATAATAAGAAATAATTTTAAAAAATATTTTAATAATATATAATTTTAAATTTTTTTAATTAAGAGATATCAATACAATAATTAACTAACTTCATAGTTTCATTAATAAATATTTTAGATTTTATTAACCAACTTTATTTTACTAATAAAAAATTAATTTTAACATTTGAATATTTATTAAACAACTACATATCTTCATTAATCAACATTTTAATTTTTATTAACTAACTTTATTTTACTATTAAAAATTATTTTTAATATATGAGCGTTTATTAATCAACTTAATCATTTTATTAACTAATATTTTAATTTTCATTAACCAATTTTATTTTATTATTAAATTATTTTTAATATCTAGACGTTTATTAACCAACTTTATTATTTTATTAACTAATTATTTATATTTCATTAACCAATTTTATTCTACCAATAAAAATCATTGTACATGTATTGTTCATGGGACTATTCACGACATTATTCATGGTATTGTTCATACATATCTTTTTTTATTTAAAAAAAACATTGTTCACTGTATAAACACGGTTAGGGGTGGCAAAACAAGACATGATCCACCGAGCTGGCCCTCGCATCTGCCAAAAAAATGGCGAGTTAGGATGAATTTTGGGTCCGCCTACTCGCCGCAGCCTGCCCTGCACACCTGTCGAGCCGGCCCGCGAGCCACACACGTTTTCCCACCCCTAATGTTAGTGATGTCAGATGGATTTCTTTCCGTACAACGAAAACAATTTAAATGTTATGTCAAGATTTTGGATTTGTTGAGACCATTCTTTTTTTTATCTATTAAGTGTATACATTTTAATTCAAAGTAAATATTAATTGAATTCCTAATCCATATATGTTCTTCCATAGTAGCCATAGGCTCCTATTTGTGTTGACATTGTGGCAAGATTTTTGAAACTATATCTCTTGGCTTTGTTGTGTGTTTGGTTTTCTATTTGAGATATACAATCCTATTCATTTCAAACTAAATAGCATTTATAATTTTATGATCATATATTATCCTCTTGCCACAACAACCAGCCGACATTTAGCTGCTACATGAGCCAAATGCATATCTTGATTATGAATAACATAGTGTTATTGCGAAAGTTATCAAAAGGTTTATTCTTCATGCAAATAAAACAACCTTTGTGGTTGAGAGCATGATTTCATCATGTCAATTTATCTTGCTAACAAATTTATTGTTTGTAAGGGTTAACCTACAATTGATTGTCAGGCAAATTGTCCACAATCATTGTTGATTGGGATGAATCTTTTCTTATCTATAAGCGTCATTATTTTTCAATTGTTCCTTACTTTAAAAAAAAACTTAAAAGTATAGTGCATGTAGAAAATAAAAAATTATGTTGTGGTATTTGTTTTATGATTGTCTAATATAGTCACCGTTGAAATGAGTTGTTAAGGAAAAATGAAAAATCTAATTAAAATATAAAAATATACCTATTAATTTATTAAAAAATGAAAATAAATATATTAAAAATTGGCGGGCTAGCCCTCCGCCCACCACCTTAGCGGGGTGAGCTAGATTTTAAATTCCAATTTCACTTGGCGGGCTTGCTCGCCCCGTCTCTTTTTTTGTGTGTTTAAAGCAGATAGGGAAGGCATCCCATTTTTCCACCTTTAAATATGGTGAATATTGCATACGGTGTCAAAATTAGGTGTAAGGGTGGTGTCAAGATATCACACATGTTTAAAAATAGTAGTAGTTTGATAACACGATTTTATATCGTATAAATCGACTTAATTAATGCAAATAATTCATGTTTTTATTTAATTTATTTTATTTTATTTCCATATTACGCTGGTATTTCTTTGTTTCAGGTATTTTGCCTTAAATAAGCTTATGTGAAGAAAAATGAAGAAATAGATGCAATTTAGTACAAAAATGAAGATAATTGATTAATGTGGTGCAGAATACTAAATGGGGGTGAAAAGAATGATTTTTTCCAAGGCCCAAAAGACCAAGAACGCGCAGAGGCCCAAGGGAACACACGTTCCCCACTTCAGCTTGAAGGGACCGACCGGCCCACTAAGGGGAACGACCGGTCCGGCCCACTTCAGCTGAGTGGAACGACCGTTCCCTCCCCTTTCCTATTTTCACGCCATTTTCTCCTCACACGGAACGACCGGTCCCAAGTCAGAAACCAACTTTTGCTATATTTCCGTACACGTCTTCAGCACGCTATGCAACAAAGTCCACTAGCAATATTTTTTGGGATATTCAGTTTTACGTGGATTGACCTTTTGGGATACAGTTATTTTACAAGCATTATAAATAGAAGTGAAAGCCAAATCCCAAAGGTCGGAGAATTTTTGCAAGATCGTACTATTTTCAGCAGAGCAAATTTCCTTCCATTTTAATTTTTGTTCTGCCCTTTTCCTTTATTTTTATTTCATCGCATTGTTTTTATTTTCTTTTCTTCTCCAGTTTTCTGCCTTTATTTTTTGTACAACAATTTCTACACCGGGAATTGTTGTGCAATTTTATCCGGTTTAACCTTACGTTAGATCCGGTATTTTTACTTTCCTTGTTGTTACGAAATTCAAGATTCGAAGGGTAAATCCAGCCGACTTGTGGTGGAATACTCGAAGGATTTGAAGAACGAATATTTACTTGAAGCTATTGAAGTATTTCTACATTTTCATCAGGTTTTCATTTATACGCTTTATTTAATATATTTGTATGATCTCTGTTATGAGTATGTTTTTATTTCGCCGTTTCCTAATTAATAAACCTTGCATGATTAATTGTATGAACATGTCTGGCTAAACCGATTAAATATCGGTATGTAAATTAACCAAATAACGGGATCCGAAATAAACTGGCTTAAAATTATTTTGTAAAAGAAACTTCTTTCATGGTTTTAATATTCAATTAAATTGTTTAAGATTTTACAAACCAATAGAACGGAAGTGTGAGGTTTTAGAATTGATTAAGGTTTTTACTAATAAAACGGAAGTTTGAGGCTAAAACCAGATAGTGATTATTAGGCATTGTTTTTAAAGAGGCGGAAGCATTTTAAAAACAATTAAATTTTATTCTGTTTTCAAAAATTACTTTTGAATCCGGCGGAGTGACGGAAGCACACGTTAGGGTATTAATCGTATAACCTGAACTAATAGAACGGAAGTGTGAGGGGAAGGTTTTTAGACGAATAAAGTTTGCGTAAAGATAATTTTTGACCAATTTAAGTAAAAGCCAGTGGAAATTCGGAACCCAAAATTTAGGTGAAATACATACCAGTATTTATAATTAAAAATTTTATAACTAAATTTAGTAATTAGATCCCTTTCGTTAATTAAATTAATATTAGCCTTAGCTTTACCCAGTAACCAAAATTACGGTAGATCGATTCATAGTCCCTGTGGATTCGATATCTTTTAAGACTACGCGATAGGACTGTGCACTTGCAGTCTCCAGATTTATAGACATACAAAGTCGCGATCAAGTTTTTGGCGCCGTTGCCGGGGACTATTTAAGTCGATATCGTAACTCTTTTAGTTACATCGTAGAGACTAAGGTCTTCTTCTTTTCATCTCTTTCTGATTTGTATGCCAAACACTCGCTCTCAAGGCGAACCTTTGCATCTACAAATCAACGACATCGAGCGTTATCTTCGATTGAGACGCCGAATTCAGGAATATCGTCTACTAAACAATTTACCCCCGACGAATATCCCTGATATAACTGATCTTAGACGAGCTGAGATGGCTGCGCCATGACCTCTAAAATCTTACGCAATCCCTTCTCAAGACGAACCTCATAACAGTATTGCCGCTCCGGCAATCGAGGCAAACAACTTCGAGCTGAAACCTTCGCTATTATCTGCAGTTCAACAAAACCAGTTTTTTGGAAATCCAACTGACGATCCGAACCTGCATTTATCCGTATTTCTACAATATGCAGATACCGTAAAATCTAATGGGGTCAGCACGGAAGCTATTCGTTTATGATTATTTCCTTTTTCCCTTAGAGATAGAGCTAGAGCCTGGCTCCAATCTCTACCTTCTAATTCAATCACTACGTGGGATGAATTAAAGAAAGTTTTCCTAACCCGATATTTTCCACCAAGCAAAACGGCTATGCTTCGAGCTCAAATCAACGGATTTAGACAGAAAGACACCGAGTCTTTATTTGAAGCATGAGAATGATATAAAGACATGATAAGACTCTGTCCACATCATGGTCTGGAGGAATGGTTAGTGATACATACTTTCTACAATGGTCTTTTGTACAACACGAGATTAACAATCGACGCTGCTGCTGGAGGTGCGCTAATGGAGAAACCTTATGTACAAGCCTACGAACTGATAGATAATATGGCCCAAAACCACTACCAGTGGGGAAGCGAGAGAGCTGCCGTTGAAAAACCTCCGACGAAAGGAGGAATGTACGAAATTAGTAGCCTAGATCAAGTAAACGCTAAGGTAGACGCACTAACTCAGAAAATAGAAAACCTTACGTTAACTCCTGCAGCTACCGTAGCTGCAGTGACTCCTGACTGCGAAATATGCGGAACATCTGATCACGCTCCCGCCGAATGTCAATTTCTGTTAGGTACTCCGACTGACCAAATAAACTACGCTCAGGGAAACCCTTATTCAAATACGTACAACCCAGGTTGGAGGAATCACCCAAATTTTTCCTACAAGAATAA